ACAATTTCCTCAAAAATTTAACTTATCTAAAATAGTGGCTTAAAATAGTCCACTAATCCTTGACACTACTTCAAAATGTGGAGCTTAATTTACCTCTTCTTGGATAAAGAAGATTAATTACTTGGATTTGAGCAAGATTAATTACTTCTCTCTAGTGAATATGAAAAGGCAAAAGCAGCAGCTGTGATTTCAGAGATTAGGTCAAGAAAGGCACTGTGGCTCCCTGTTTGCTTTATTTGTTAGATCACCTACTCTGGGAAAGCCAGCTTCCCTGTCTCTCTGTGGAGACCCGATATGGCAAGGAATGAGGTCTACTGTCAACACTCAACAAGGATTGGAGACTCACACCCAGTAACTGCTAAATGGTTTGAAAATGGATTCAAGTCTTTAGATGTCTATAGCCTCAATCAACAACTTGACTATAATCTCATGAGACTCTCCGCCTAAACAAACCAGCTAAGCTGCTCCTAAATTTCTAATCTACAGAATATTTAATAAATTTTTTGTTGTTAAGCCCTAAATTTTTGTGTAATTCTTAATGCAAAAATAGAAAACTAAGGGCTGGTACTTGGCGTAGCAGGCTGCAGTGCCAGCATCCCATATGGGAGCTAGTCCATGACCTGGCTGCTCCACTTCTGATCCAGCTCCCTGCTAATGTGCCTGGGAAAGCAGTAGAAGATGGCTCAAGTCCCTGGGCCCCTGCATCCATGTGCAACCATTTGGGGAGTGAACCAGTAGATGGAAGCGCTCTCTCACTTTCTGTCTCTTTCTCTCTCTCTCTCTCTCTCTCTCTCTCTGTGTTAGTGTGTTTGTGTGTATGTGTGTGTCTCCTCTCCTTCTTTGTAACTCTAATTTTCAAATAAATAAATAAATAAATCTAAACAGATACAGTAACAACAGCATTAAGCATTTGACTATAAAGTAAATTAAAAATATTATCTCACAAATAAAAAGTTAAAAAAATAAATATCAAATACCAAGGAATAAACATAATAATAGATATATAAAGCCTCCATGCTGAAAACTAAGACTTGCTATAGACAGAAGTTTAGGAAGACCTAAGGGGATGGCATTGTGGCACAGCAGGTTAAGCCACTGCTTACAATGCTAGCATCCTATATCAGAGTGCCAATTTCAGTCCCAGTTGCTCTGCTTCCAATCCAGCTCCTTTCATGCACTTGGGAAAGCAGTAAAAGAAGACCCAGGTGCTTAGACCCCTGCCAGCCACGTGGGAGACCCAGATAGAGTTCCAGGCTCCCCAGTTCTGCCTGGCCCAACCTAAGCTGTTGTAACCATTTGAGGAGTCAACCAGCAGATGAAAAATCTCTCTTTGTCTGTCTGTCTGCCTGTCTCTATCTTTATCTCTATCTCACTTTCTGTGTGTGTGTGTGTGTGTGCGTTGCTCTACCTTTCAAATAAAATAAAACTTTAAAAAAAGAAAGAAGCCCTAAACAAATGGAAGGATATATGAAAATTCAATTCTCTAAAGACATCAACTGTACTCCAAATTAAATTACAGATTTAAAAGTTCCAGCTAAAAATTTTAGTGGGCTTTTTCATTGCTGGAATTAATAAATTGATTATAAAATTATATGGATATACTTTTATATCCATATAATTTCAAGAGTAGCTAGGGCATTCTTGAAAAACAATAAAATTGAAGAACTTACAAGTGTCATGACTTATTAGAAAACAAAAGTACTTAAAATAATGTAGTATTAATACAAAAAAGAAAAGTTGTCAATTGGAACATAGTCTTCTGATTTATGACAATGAATAACAACACTGCATGCAATGAGAAATAGATTTTTTTTACAATGAACTCTCATGTAGAATAGAGGGAATACTTCAATACATGTACAAAAAAAGAATGCATCTTGACCTCCATCTCAAACTACAAGTTAAGAAAAAATCTATATGGACTTCAAACCTAAGTGAAAAATATAAAATAAAAATATTTTAGAGAATACCTAGGAAAAAATTTTCATGTCACTGAAATAATCAGATTTATTAAATGGGATACATAAAGCATTACCCATAAAAGAAAAAAACGCATTAACTATATTAAATAGAACTTTTGATAATCAAAAATATCATTAATAGAATGAAAAAGCAATCAATTGAATGGAAGAAAACATACACAAGACGTGTCTGGTAGTCATTTTATATTAAGAATATTAAAATATATGGGGGTGGGGGCAGCCATTGTAATCCATAAGCTGTACTTTGGAAATTTATATTCATTAAATAAAAGTTAAAAAAAAAAGAACATGCTGCCTTATGTTCATTGTCAGTGTAACAGAATTATAATAAACCATAAACTGAATAAAAGAAAAAAAATTAAAAGGGGGCTGGCACTGTGGCATAGCAAGTAAAAGCTGCAGCCCGCAGTGCCAGCATCCATATGGATGCCAGGTGGAGTACCAGCTGCTCCACTTCCGATCCAGCTCTCTGCTATGGCCTGGGAAAGCAGTAGAAGATGGCCCAAGCCCTTGGCCCCCTGTACCCAAGTGGGAGACCTGGAAGAGGCTTCTGGCTCCTGTCTTCAGATTGGCCCAGCTACAGCCATTACAACCATTTGGGGAGTGAACCAGCAGATCAAAGATCTCTCTCTCTCTCTCTAACTCTGCTTCTCAAATAAATAAATAAAATCTTTTTAAAAAGAATATTAAAAGGATTTTTATAAGTCAATAAGCAAATGATGGACAACCCAACAGATCTGAACACACAATTCACAAAACAAAGTATCCAAATGTCCAAGATAACCAACTTCATTAGTCATCAGAGAAACTGAGATTAATACCACCATGCACTACTTCTATATACCTTCCAAAATAGCTTTAAAATGTTTCTAATTCCAAAAGAATAATGACAAGGATATGGGACAATCAGGACTCATAAATTTTGGTCAAAGCTTGAATTTAAATAATCGCTGAGAAAACATAATGCATAGCATTATGAGCCAGCAATTCCACTCTTCAGTAATCTCCAACATAAATGCATACCTATATTCAGCATTACACATTTATTAGAATGTTCACAGCAAATTTATTTTACAATAGTCAGAACCTGAAAATCCAACTACCCATCAATTGGTGAATGGATAAATAAACTGTTGTATATCTAAACAATGAAAAGGAATGGATTTCTGATACACACAACATGGATGAATTATCAAAACTATGTCAAGCAGAATATATACATAAAAATATATGCATGTAATTCTATGTGTATAAAGTACAAAAATAGGCAACAAAATGGATTATTCTCATAAATATAATCTATAACAAAAGAATTCAGACATATAGTATATACAGATGTGTGTACTACTGTTCCCAAACCTGGATCACTCCAGTTAGCACACACAGGAAATCTCTGAATAAGAGTTGGCCTCTTGGTGGTCAGCATTGTGGCAGAGCAGGTTAACCCAACACCTGGGACTCCAGGATCCCATATGGCAGCCATGTGGGGAGTAAACCAGGGGCAGAAGATCTTCCTCCCTCTGTAACTCTGCCTTTCAAATAAATACATTTTTAAAGATTGATTTGAAAGGCAGAACTATGGAGGATGAAGGGCAGAGGAATAGAAATCTTCAGGGCCGACACCGCGGCTCAATAGGCTAATCCTCCACCTGTGGTGCCGGCACCTGGGTTCTAGTCCCGGTTGGGGCGCCGGATTCTGTCCCGGTTGCTCCTCTTCCAATCCAGCTCTCTGCTGTGGCCCGGGATTGCAGTGGAGGATGGCCCCACATGGGAGACCAGGAGGAAGGACCTGGCTCCTGGCTTCTGATCAGCACAGCACGCCCGAAGCGGTCACTTTGGGGGTGAACCAACAGCAAAGGAAGACCTTTATCTCTGTCTCTCTCTCTCTCTCTCTCTCTCTCTCTCTCACTGTCTAACTCTTCCTGTCAAAAAAATAATAATAATAAAAAATAAAAAAGAAATCTTCCATCCACTGATTCACTCCCCAAATGGAAACAACGACCAGGGCTGGGCCAGACCGAAGCCAGGAACCCAGAGCTGGATCAGAAGTGGAGCAGCCAGAACTCGAACCAGCACCCATATGGGATGCCAGCACTGCAGACAACAGCTTTACCAGCTAAGCCACAGTGCCAGCCCCTCATTTTTATTTTTAAAGATTATTTATTTGGGCTGGCGCCGCGGCTCACTAGGCTAATCCTCCGCCTAGCGGCGCCGGCACACCGGGTTCTAGTCCCGGTTGGGGCGCTGGATTCTGTCCCGGTTGCCCCTCTTCCAGGCCAGCTCTCTGCTGTGGCCAGGGAGTGCAGTGGAGGATGGCCCAAGTACTTGGGCCCTGCACCCCATGGGAGACCAGGAAAAGCACCTGGATCCTGGCTCCTGCCATCGGATCAGCGCGGTGCGCCGGCCACGGCGGCCATTGGAGGGTGAACCAACGGCAAAGGAAGACCTTTCTCTCTGTCTCTCTCTCTCACTGTCCACTCTGCCTGTCAAAAAAAAAAATAAATAAATAAATAAATAAAGATTATTTATTTGATATGCTGAGTCTCACACACAGAGTGAACAAGAGAGACAGAGATATAGATATCTTTCATCTATTGATTCATTTCCCAAATGCCCACAACAGCCAGGGTTAAGCCAGATTGAAGCTAGGAGCCAGGAACTCCAACTTTATCTCCCATGTGGGTGCCAGGGGCACAATGAGAACTTGAACCAGCACTCACATGGGATGCTGCCATCGCAGGTGATGGTATAACCAACTGTGCCATAACACAGGCTCATGGCCCTCATTTTAAAAATTGTGTCACGCAGTGGCAGGGAGCTGGATGGAAAACGGAGCAACCAAGACACCAACCGGCTCTCCAATATGGGATGCTGGCATCCGAGGCAGCACCTTAATTCACTAAGCCACAATACCAGCCCCTCTACATTCATTAACTGGAATTTTGTTATTTAAGAAAAAGAACTACTGGGGTTGGCACTGTGGTGTAGTAGGTTAAGCCTCTGCCAATATCCCATATGGGTGCCAGTCTATGTCCTGGCTGCTCCGCTTCTGATCCACCTCTCTGCTAGTGGCCTGGGGGAACAGCAGAGGATGGCCCAAGTGCTTGGACCCTTGTACCTGAGTGGGAGACCTGGAGGAGGCACCTGGCTCCTGGCTTTGGATCGGCCCAACACTGGCTGTTGCGGCCACTTGGGGAGTGAACCAGAGGATGGAAGACTCTCTCTCTCTCTCTCTCTCTCTCTCTCTCTCTCTCTCTCTCTCTGCCTCTCCTCCCTCTGTATAACTCTTTCAAATAAATAAATAATTTAAAAAAATAAAAATAACAATGAGCACTTCCAGATCTTCAGGAGAGGATGGGTCCCTTTTTCCTCTACTCAACACCACCATACACATAAACACACACCCACACACATACACAAACATGTACACACACAAACCCCACCCAACCCCCATCTTTCCAAAGAGCCAAGGGAACTAAAAAGAAACTGGATGTTATAAATTTGTGGAAATTTTTTTGGAAAAAGACCAGAATCAGGGAAGGAAACATAATACCCAACACAGAGCAGTTTCTGGAAATAAGCCTGGGCCCAGAACAGAGCTCATCACTGGAACAAAGACTACTCTGTAGGGGTAGCTATGCCAGCTGAGTCCTTGGGCTCCAGTCCTACCCCAAACCACAAAATGAGGGCCTTCAACACACTGAAGCAATCCCCACCCAAATTCCACACCAATTACATGGGGGGGGGGGGGGGCTAGCTCCACAGCCCTCCTTCTCTCCACTGCCCTGCTGAAAATACTTTATTAATGAGAGGACAGGATAAAGCCATGTGCTCTGAGACAATCCAGAGACAGCAATCTGGCACCAGCCCCAGGTGAGTACTGACCCTCCTCCAAAGAGGACCCACTAAAGACCAGGCCTCCCTCTAATTACCAGGGAGCCTAGCTGAGGGCTGGAGCCGTTATTTAGAGAACCATCGGCTCCTCCTAGCACAGACATCCACAAGGTTGGGCTGTAGCCCTGCCTGCTCAGAGCCTGCTAGGTGAAGCTGCCTTCTCCTCTCTCTGCTCTCCCAGGACCGCCTGCCACCTCCGCTCCCCTGAGCCCAGCAGCACCATGTCACTCGCACACACAGCTGCAGAGTACATGCTCTCGGATGCCCTGCTGCCCGACCGCAGGGGACCCCGCCTCAAAGGACTGCACCTGGAACTGCCCCTGGACCGGATGGTCAAGTTCGTAGCTGTGGGCTTCCCCTTGCTGCTGATGTCCCTGGCATTCGCCCAGGAGTTCACTTCTGGTAAGTTGCTTCCCAGAGCAGTGCGTGAGAGAGACCCCCATTTCCTTTCCCTCTTTGCACCGGCTCTGAAGTCAGCTCCCACATCACCCATGTAGGCTTCAGGAGTTTGGGCTGTGCGAGATCACCCAACAGGCAGATGATGCATGAGTCTGCAAGGTACCAGCAGAGCAGAGAGGCAGCAAAAAGCCTTAGAAGTCATCTCTGGAACTTCATAATTTTTAAAAATATTCGATGCTGTTTCATTTTTCATATATTTTATGTCATTTCAATAATTAAACTTTTATTTTGGTTTTCATATGGATGAGAGAGGTTGGGGCTCTGTTAACTCAGGACCTCAGATCTCTCCACACTACCAACATGTCTCTCATTTTCTCTGAGTTCTTTTCCTACCCCTACCTCCAGAGTTACTGATTGGAGAACACACAATAAGTACTAGACCAAGCCTGGCACATCTGAGGTAGCAGATATTAGTATGCGCAAGTATTGAGTCTTCTAGGTAGTGGGTTAACTTAGCAAATCCACCATCTCTATTAAAGAGAACGTGGACCTCCTGAGAACTGAGACTTCTGGCTTTCTTTCCTGGCTGTGCCATTAGCTGACCACATTTCCCAGTGGGATATGCCAACCTCCCACTGCCATCTTCATCCCTCCACAAGAGGGGAAGATTTGGTTCCCAGCTCAGCATCTTTCCATAGAATGAAAGAGAAATAAAAAGCCAGGGAGTCTCCCATAATCCCACTTTCTTTCCAGCACTCTTTCTGCTGATTTGGGTTCAGAAGTCCAGGAAATTAATCCTCTGCATTTTAGAGCTTAAAGATGCCAGCTCACAGCAAATTAGAGGAGGGCAAAAGTCCCCACTTCCTGCCTAACTGGGAACCCAGGGATGAGATGAGAGAAAAGAACAGCAGACCTAAAAGGCTAAGTCAGTGCATTTTTTGGCGAGCCTGGAACTAACAGTGGGATGCTGTCCTGCCATGCCTCATCCCACTCTGACATAGCTGTGTCCCCTGACTCCCCAGAAAACAGCCTGGGGAGAAGACAGTGCCCACCAGACACACAGAGAAGAGTTGTGGAGGGAATGGCTAGGAAACTCTTAAATGATAGCCCCCTGCGTTCCCACTCCTCCATGCCAACTCAGAGCTGCCTTAACACTGTGTTCCTGCTCCAGGGTCTCCAATCAGCTGCTTCCCTCCTAGTAACTTCAGTGTTCGCCAGGCTACCTACGTGGACAATTCTTGTTGGGACTCACTGGTTCACCATGAACAGGATGAGCCTGGCCAGTTCAAGACAAAATCTCTTTGGCCACACAAGGTAAAGCAGAGACTGTAACAGGCCTGTTTCATGTCTGAGTGGAGGGTGACAGAACTGAGTCGTTACATTCCCTCTCAGCTCTCCCTCTCCCTCCTGTTACCCCATTTATTTGGGTCTCTGACTTTCATATTTCAGGCATCCTTCAAAGGCCTGGTGATCTTAGGTTGCCTGCTTTTATGCATTTGGAAACTTTGTGCCTATGGGTGAGGCTTGTTGAGTTTCCAGCATTTCGGTGCTCTTGTCTCCCTTCCTATTCTCTTTGACCTTGGAGGATTTATATTCATATATATAATTATTCTGTATTGTCAGCCTGATGGGAGTTTTGGCAGTAGTGGCAATAGATATGTTCAATTAACAATGTTTAATCAAAAATCACCAGCAGCATTTTCTAGGCATGGTAATTTACAAGGCCTCAAAATACCACAGTTCCACATCCAGACACAACTACAGACTGTCTGGGAAGGATGCCTGAGGTCTCTGTTGCTGAAAGTACAAACTGGGTAACAAGTTCTAGGGTCAGAAGGAGCCACATGTAGAGAAGGGTCAAGTCCCCTGATAGTCAGGATCCCCAGCAAGGGCTTTTGACTCAGATTCCCTGGCTCCACTTCAAATCTACTGACACACTGTCTGGGGCAACAGGTTTATTTTCAAGAAGTGCAGTTTCTTGGATACAATGAAAAGATCCTAATTTCCTCTTGTGGCCTTATATACCTTTCCTAACCTATCTTTCTTGTTTAGTTTCAAAAAGATACCTGACTGATACACACACACACACACATACACACACACACACATCTTTCTCCTCTACCCACATGCAATCAAATATCCAATTTGTATCCTCCTTCTTTTTCTTCAAACTCTCCTCAAAAATAACAAAGCACCCCTGGTTCAGGAAAAGCTATAGGTCAAGTACTCATTAAAGGAATAAGCTCCAAAATCAAGAGAGCCTAGTTCCAAATGGTAGCTACCCGCCTAGTAAATGTGTAACCCTGGACAGGTAACTTAATCTTTTCATGTCTCAGTTTCCTTACCTGTAAGAGAGTTATTGTGATAGCATCTTTGTGAAAATCAAATGAAATAATAAATGTTAATCACCTAGCACAATGTAGCTTTTTTTCATATAGAGATTTTACTGTTGGCAAAATATTGGGCCCATTCCTGTTAGGTTTTTAATTATCATATAAAAAACTAAGAAAACATCCCTATAGTAGTTAGGCTGCCCTAACAAAGACCCTTAGGCTGAGTGCTTTAAACAGAATTGTATCATCTCACAATTCTAGAGGTCAGAAATCTAAGATCCAAGTGTCATTAGGGTTGGTTGCTCTGGGGGCTATGAGGGAATGATCTTCTGGGTCCCTTCCTTTGGCTTGCAGACACGTCACCTTCAGTGTTCTCTCTGTGTGCACGTCTAACACTTTGTAGAAACTTTTTGTTAAGGATACCAGTTACAATGGGTTAGGGGCCACCATATTTCAGTATGATCTCATTTTAAATTAATTACATCTGCAATGACCCTATTTAACTTCTCAATGAGATGCTCAGGATTAGGACTTTCAACATATTAATTGGGGGATGGGGGAGAGGGGGAGCACACATTTCAGTCCCTTATTTCAAGTGGTTAATAAGGTAGTTGAGGAGATAAGGCTCATGTAATCCCTGAAAGTCAGTTTCTACATCTGCATACCTGACATATAGTGTCTGACGATATAGTTTGGCATTATCAAGAATCCATTGTGCACTGGAGAAGTCAGGGGAAGCTACATGAAAGACAAGGGATTTTCCCATAGGATTGCCATAGCCATTGTTGGTCAGTAACCCAACATGGTTACTCAAAACACATTTGGTATGAGGAAAGGGAGCTTCCTTCTCTCTCTCTCTCTCTCTCTCTCTCTCTCTCCTCCACCAACCCAGTCCTCCACCAGGACCCTACATAGATATTGAATCAAAAAAAAAAAAGGTTCTTGATGGATGTGGGGAGCAGGAAAACCCACTATCCCTTCCCTAATTCACAATATTCATCCCAGTCAGTAGACAGCTGCAGGTCCTGCAGGTAGTAGCCCATTCCACACAGAACCTTCCCTTCCTAAGGCAAGAACTGGGGAGAGGATAGTACCTCACTAAGAGCTGCCACTCAAGGTCCAACATCTTGTGCTCCCTCCTCAGTCGACTCTGACTCTTGCCCTGCAGGCCCTCCCCTACTCCCTGCTGGCTCTGGCCATGGCCATGTACCTGCCAGTGCTGCTGTGGCAGTATGCAGCTGCACCCGCCCTCAGCTCAGATCTGCTGTTCATCATCAGTGAACTGGACAAATCCTACAATCGCTCCATCCGCCTAGTGCAGCACATGTTGAAGATCCGGCAGAAGAGCTCCGACCCCCACGTTTTCTGGGATGAGCTGGAGAAGTGAGTTTTCTCTTCTACATTTTTATGAAGGACTTGGTCAAGTGTTAAAATGATGTCCTTGCATAGTAATCTTTAAGTTATCTTCTAACCCCTCCTTCTTAAGAGTGCAAAGTGCTTAACACATCATCTCATGAGCTTTCTGTCATTTCTGTAAAGGTAGAAGAGAACAGACTCTGTGCCTGTAACTCGCAGATGAACGCACTAAGCCACAAAGGGATTCATCTCTCTATAATCTCTCTAAAATCACTCTCATGCACTATTCTCCTGCTCAAAAATCTTAAGTAGCTCCCCTCATGCCTACCAAAAGTACTCAAATTCTCCCAAATATTTGTTCAAAGCACTCAACAGAGCTCCTTTTTCAAACTTCTAGCAGCTGACAAAACTTTCCACTCGACCTAAGCAGTTTCCTCCTCTTCCCCTAAATAAATCATTTATGTATTTATTTAATCATTCCTTCATCTGAGTACCAGGCACTGTGTTGAGTGCTATGTGGGGAGAAATAGGGGGTGAAAGAGAAAAACCTATCCATGTGGGACTTATATTCTATTGATGGAAAACAGGCAACAAGTAAGGAGACCACTAAGTAAAATATGTGTTAGGAAATAAGTGACAGGAAGAAAAGAAAAAGCAAAGCAGGGTGAGGGGGCTCAGGAAAGCTGGAGGGATAGACTTCATTTTTAATAGGGAGCCCAGGGTAGGCCGCACCAAGTGGATAGTTAAGAGTCTCTGTGTAGACAAACCTACTCTATCCTTTGAAAAAAGTCCCTCTCGAACTTTTGAAGCTCAGCTTTAAACCCAAGTTCCCTATAATTGTTTCTGAACACTTCAGCCCACACTGCTACCCTGCTAACTTTTGAATCAGTGATATATACTATTACTATCTATATTACTATTATATATATACTATTATATATACTAATATATCTATTATGTTGGCATGTCTTATCTGTCCCTTCTCAAAAGGCAGACTTCAAGTCTCCTCAAAGCACAGACATACTTACATGCACCTGAACACCACAGCTCTCAATAAATACTTGTTAGCACATTTATTTGTATAAAATGAATAAACTTGCACAAAGCTGATACAAAGAGTACAACAGCCAAGAAGCTAATGCATTTTAAAGCCCCATTGCAGAATGGTTTTCATAAGCCTATTGCCTCCTAAGGATCCTACCTCAGTTTGGAGATTTAGTCTACCTTGCTGGGAAGAAATCTAGCATAACCTTTCATCAGTTTCTGCTCATTAATATACCTGGAGGATCAAGATATAGTCACACATGTCTTTTGCAGGAAGTGAGGTTATACTCTGGGAAGGTAGATTTTCATGTGAGCCAAGGATGCCATGTTGCATACATACTTACCCACAGGACTCTCTTGGCGTATGGTTCTAAACGGTCTTTCCTAACTTTGCCTCCTTTCTTCCCCTGACCAGGGCCCGCAAAGAACGATACTTTGAATTCCCCTTGCTAGAGCGGTACCTGGCATGCAAGCAGCGCTCACATTCACTAGTGGCAACCTACCTCCTTAGGAACGCCCTCTTGCTCCTCTTCACCTCAGCCATTTATCTGTACCTTGGCCACTTCCACCTGGATGTCTTCTTCCAAGAAGAATTCAGCTGCTCCATCAAGACAGGGCTGCTAAGCGATGAGACCCATGTCCCCAATCTCATCACATGCAGGCTGACCTCCCTGTCCATTTTCCAGATTGTCAGCCTCTCCAGTGTAGCAGTATACACCTTATTGGTTCCAGTGATAATATACAACCTCACACGGCTATGTCGATGGGACAAACGACTCCTATCCATCTATGAGATGCTCCCAGCTTTTGATCTCCTCAGCAGGAAAATGCTGGGATGCCCAATCAATGACCTCAATGTAATCCTTCTTTTCCTCCGAGCCAACATCTCTGAACTCATCTCCTTCAGCTGGTTGAATGTCTTATGTGTATTGAAGGACACAACCAACCAGAAGCACAATATTGACACAGTGGTCGATTTCATGACTTTATTGGCTGGCTTAGAACCCTCAAAACCTAAACATCTCACCCACCGGGCATGTGATGAACACCCATAGTGAAGAAGTCATAGAGCAAGGAATTTTTTGGAAAGTAAGTCTCCTCGTTCCTTCTATGCCACAATACCAACACACAAAAATACCTACTTTGGAATGGCTAAGCTTGAATTCAGCTGAATCCTACATCGTGTATCACGTTATCTAAAGATAATAAGATATAATCAAGACATGGAAATATATATGAAAGGTAGAGGTGAAGAGTCAGAAGACTAAAAATTAGATCTAGTACACTCTTGGAAGGTAATAAACATAAATAAATGTAGACATTCTACAAGGAAAGAAGATTCTAAAGACTATTTCTGAAGACAGGTTCTTCTCACTATATTCACTCTATGGGCCTTCTAGAATACATACTTTGGTTTATCCCAAAGAGCAAATAGGGCAACATGTAAGAGATTAATAAAGATGTGAAACCCCTGGAAACCCTTTGGTGTGACCTAAAATCCTAGGAATTTGTGCAGCTTGCTTTGTGGAAGTCTCAAACTTGCCTAGGCCCCCTATGCTCCTCAAAGTGCACTGGGAGCTAATAATGGTTTCAACATGTAATCTGCTCGTGGGATTTAAGGACAGAGTATAACAAGGTCAGTGGCACTCACCAACTATGCGTGGAGCCTTGAGGTATCTAGATGCACCTTTTAACATCTAAACTAGAGACTAATTTCACCAAGGGCTGAGGTTATGGTCTGTGGACTCCTTCACAACTTTTAATCGTCCAGGTAAGCTTTTAGTACTCTAGAGGATACCATATCTTCATTTATAACCAATCACTAAATAGCAAGTACTTTGAAGTAAACACAATCAACAGTGAAGTACTATTCAGTACCTTCTCTCTCACCTCTGACTCACCACCCCCATTTCTTATACCTCTCACTCCTATGCATGGATTTAATAGAACTTTGATCTCACTCCAAAGGCCCTGCTCAGCCCATAATACCATACACGCTCTTATTTCACATTTCCTTTTAGAGCTACACATTATGTATTTCTTGAGAAAATTTGTGCATTAGGACCTTTAGATGCCTCTTCATATAGGCAAGTAGAAAAGTTATGTTGCTTTTGACAAATTCAGAATGTGTCACCTAAACAATAAGATGACTGATATGTAGACATTCATCAGTGACTTCCTATCATCATTGCATACATATTCAACTCCTTAGCAGGTACACAAGACCTTTCATGATCCAAACCATGTCATCCCATGCCATGACTACTTCAGTCTCTCGTTTGGCTTCTCTACACACACCTGTTTTGCTCTAATCAATTACTTGTAGTTCCCATGTTTCTCGTGATGCTGATCCTTTGAATATGTTGTTTCCAAGATGCCTCCTCTATACTTCACCAGGCCAACATCTACCTCTCCTTCAGGTCTTCCTAGGAATATTTCCTTAAAGAAGACATTACTATCTCCTCCCTCCTTTCTTAACTGGGAGCTGCCAGATCAAACAAAATCTACCTCTAAATAAATGTACTACATTGTATTAACACTATTAATTTATTTGTCTGTATTTCCCTCCTAGACACCCTAAAGGCTGTGTCACAACAGGCACTAAATAAATATCTTTCTGACAAACAAGTGACTCAATTGGTTGCTCAACAGCATCACGTTCTTTGGAGCATCATGTTTGTTGGAGCACACAACCTAGCCTTTTTCCTATTGAGAAAAAGCTTTGTGCACAAAGCAACTGACCAAAAAATCAAGCAATGTGGAAATAATTATGCAAAATATAATATAGCCATAACCAGAATGCTAGCCATTCATTTAAAATCATGTTCACAGAGAAGTCTTTAACACTGTTAAATGATTATAATAATGGTAAATGAACAAAAATATATTCTCCAGGACCTAACCTACATGAAAATATTAAACAGGTATACTAACAAATGCAAAGTAGTGCTTGCCAAGGAACCCACTACAGATTTTTTTAAGTGCACTTTGTTTTGTATGTCCTGAATTTCTAAAACTTGCAAGCAATGTTATAGAAAGTTAAAAAATATTTCTAATGAAGAAGAAACGGTAAACATTTCATGCAAATTCCATTAAACCACATTGGCCAGAGTAGCCTGCAAAATAAGACAAAAAGCACTTCCCTTACCACTAGATATGACACATGTACATGAAAATCAATGATTCAAATTAGCTCAGACCCCAAAGTATACAAGGACAACATATAGCTGGACAACAAATACACTGAGTAATTAGCAAATAAGATTTGGAGGAGGGGGGGAGGAGAAGGAAGGGGAGGGGGACATCTTCCTATTACAGGGACCATTTAGATTCCAAGGTAAAGTGTCAGTCTATATTATCAAAGACATTAGTGTGGGTATTCTGTGAGCTGAAAATAATTCTGGCTATTTCCAGAAATGAATCTATGTGGTTATCCTCAGCATGTTTGTAAAGGCAAACTTGACATCCTAAAGAATCGAACTATTAAAAAGTCCAACAAGCACAACTTACATATGGATGGTCATAAAAGGACTTCCAGAAGCATTCTCTCTGTATTAAAACCATCTTACAGAGTGCCTGTAATTTCAGAAATAAAGTACCTGAGACATCAATTCTAAACCAATCTTTTGACTTCTGCTTGTTATCTTTTCTCCAGTAACTCAATGAATTTAATCTAACTATGTAACATTTTCCTGAATACCCATATACAACTTAAGAAATCTACACTTTTTAATATATAATGTATATTTTGTATCAGAGAACTTTGCAATTTAAAAATCCCATTTGCCTCCATTAAAGAGTACGAGAGTTTGAGAAGAAAAAAATAGGTGTGAATAAGAGGCTCACTCAACTAGTTAGTGGCACCAGCAAGAATGCAAGCAAGCCTTAAGCAACGGGCATTTACCAATACTCCATTCTCAAGATTTGCCCATCCTCCTCATTTGGTGATTTTAAGTAGCTTTGGTTATAAAGTTGGAACTTTTTTATAGATCCACGTACACACACACACTTTTGGTTTCCTTGGCACATCTTTCGTTAAAACTGCCCTGCTAAATTTTCTAGCTAGAATCTACACTTTGAGAACGACAAGGCCTTTGTTCACTGTTCACTTTGTTCACTGTTGTAGTCCCAGCTCCTAGCAAGATCTTCGCAAAAGAAAAGCGTATGCGAAGTCGCACAATCAATGGTAGGAAGCCAAGAGAACAGCAGACCCCCAACACCTGCGTGCTGCAAAAACAGGCTTTGGGACACTGCGGCCAGGGGGGACGCGAAGCGGAACTTGGCGTCGGAAAGACTAGTTTGTCCTCGCTTTAGCTCAACTACCGCAGGCAGCGAAGCACACGGACGCACGAGTCACAGCAGGAGTTTCCGGCCGCCGCCCGAATCTCCTCTCCCCGACCCGAACTCAACCCCGCCCCATCCCCTCTCCTCCACCCGAATTCAGGCCCGACCCACCCGCCCCGAGGCGAGCACTAGGAACACGCGGCCCAGACCCAACAAGAACGGCCCCGGAACTTACACGCAGCCGGCGCCTTACGTCACTTCCGGGCAGCGCAGCCGTCCCAAGCAGACGCGGAAGTGCTGGGAAGTGCGGGTAGCCGGGTCCGTTGGTGGACCCCTGTCGGGGGCTTTCCACCTTAAAAACTTCTGGAGCGCTAGATTGCTAGAGGCCCGATTCTGCCAGCCGCCGTTCGACCTCGGAGCCGATGCTGGCCGCGGTCCGGAGGCCCCATAGCGGGGCCGGACCATGAGCCTGCCGGGCGGCCTTGTCTCCTCGCCGCGGGCCCTTCTGCAGCCCAGCAAGGCCAGGATGAAAAAGCTGCCGAAGAAGAGCCAGAACGAGAAGTACCGCCTGAAGTACCTGCGGCTGCGCAAAGCGGCCAAGGCCACCGTGTTTGTGAGTCTGATGTCGCTCCGCCTCGAGACTCCCTCCCCAAGTCTTCCCCTAACCCCAGAGCGACAGTATGAAGATAGCTAGCTTTTCAGTAAATGTTAGCTTTGTGTCCTGGGACAGACTGTGTCATCTTTCTGGTCCTGTTTCCTCGTCTGTAAATAAAACTACCTTGCAGAGTTCACGAAAGATAACATGAGAACAGGAAAGTGCGTGGTGCCCAGCAGTGTGTGCCAATAAATTTTAGTCATTGTTACGGCTTCTGCAGAATTCTTAGAAATGCACCTGTAGTTGTGGAGATAATCCAGAGAGTTAGGCACTGTTTTTTCAAATGAGAACACAGAAGCCCGTAGAGACAGGAATTTGCTCGAGGGCGCTGTGTCAGAACCCTGATTTCAACTTGGGCGCCCAGATTCCAGCTTATCACTCCCAGCACACGGCCTATTTCCCAAGCACCCCACATCCTTAAAACTTACCTTTCCTAAACAGGTACATGAACCTTTCCGTCGTCTCTCCTTGTAACCTCTTGACCCTCCCATGTGTTTGTTCCTTTCTGAGTTTATTGAATGCATGGTTTGCTCTGTGTTACACCATTCAGGCTTGCTCATGCTTACTCCAGTGCTTGGAAGCTGAGGTGCAGTCCACAAATCCCCTCCCGCATCTGAACCAGCAGTTTACATCTTTCTAACAAAAACTTGAACATCTCAGCGTTTGGGGAAAGACTTAGGAATTGGAATATTCATTCCAGAAACATCTATTCAGTATGTGCTGTGAGCGCTGGGGAAAAAATAAGAAAAGTAGAATTGAGAGAACCTGACATCTGAATAACCAGTCCCTTTGTTTGTTTTTTTTTTTTTTTTTGGCCCTATATGTCAAAGGAACCTAAAGCTTGGAGTCTGTTACCAAAAGGGTCTTGGTTCCTTCAAGTACGTGAAGGTTTTGTGAAGAAAAGGCATGTTGTTTTGAACACTGGAAGGTTGAGGTTCCACCTGTGGAGCTTCCAGATTGAAGCATCCCTTTCAGGATATGTACTTTAAGAATTTTACACACGAAATGTGATTTTACTAATCCAAGTTTTCTCTCCCAGGTTCTTATTATATGGGAGTCAAGGCCCTTGGGGATGGACACTCCCTAGATCTGTAGGTTTAAGCAGTATACCCTTTATTTCTGCCACAGATTACCCCAATCACGGTGACCATACATCTTAGTTTGCCCAAGACAATCATGGTTTTCCATATTGTTCTGGCATAATAAGCATTGATATTGCCCCCTTTTAGCTCAGAGGAGTCCCAGATTAGATAATAAAATATATAATTACCCTGCCCATAGTAGAATCTAGCTACCTTTATTACCTTTAGGTTTACTTGCAGCTTGCCTGCAAGGTAAAATAGCTCATTCAGTTCACTTAGCAATAGTTTTTTGGTTTGAAATATGAATCTTCTTCCCAATATAATGCTTTGATCTTTTATTCATTTTATGTGATGATGTTCAAAATTTTTCTTAAAGGAAAATGCTGCTATTTGTGATGAAATCGCTCGTCTTGAGGAAAAATTTCTTAAAGCAAAAGAGGAAAGAAGGTGAGCTGGCTTTATTTTGTGTTCAGATTCACGTTTTTGGTGATTGATAGAGTATTATTACTCTGGGGTTTTTTCTCCAGTGTGATTTCTATGAATTGCACAGCCCCTTGGTGTGTGATCAAATACGGAAAAATTTACAGCCTTTAATATTGGTTCCTACACAGCCAAGTTATTTTGGACCATGATGATGAGACAGCTGCTCTAATCATCTTTCTGAGACAAAGCCCTGTCACACGTCTAATGAGGAATCCTGTTATAACTCCCCAATTATAAAAGCCAAAGGATGAAAGAAACTGCCTTTCATTCAGTGGATATTTATGTAGAATGTATCACTCTGTGCAAAGTACAGTGGGCTTATGTATATCTGTAATTTATGATATAAGCCCTTTAGAAACCTAACACCTTCCAATATCAAGGTAGAGAAACCCTCCAGATGCAAGACAGAAAAGCTGCAATCGTTCTCCTTGGCTTCTTAAAGTAATGCTGACTCTCTGGGGCTTCATTAATCCCAGGGTCCAATAAGAATCTTACTTTTGCAAGTGTAATAATCTTTGCTTCTAATTCTGCTTTTTCTCCAGTATTTGAGTAAATACGGAATTGAGATAAAACTGCTCACACCTCTGCTCCCTTTCTTTTCTGACCTCAGGTACTTGCTAAAGAAGCTCCTCCAGCTTCAGGCGCTAACTGAAGGGGAAGTGCAGGCTGCAGCGCCTTCCCACAGCTCCAGTCTGCCCCTGACTTATGGTGTGGCCAGCTCTGTGGGAACTATACAGGGAGCTGGGCCCATTTCTGGGCCCAGCACTGGGGCTGAGGAACCTTTTGGGAAGAAATCCAAGAAGGATAAAAAAGAAAAAGGCAAAGAAAACAACAAACTGGAAGGTACTTTGGGAGATACTAGTTGTCACATAGCTGAGCTACCCAATATGACAAAGACCTGGTACTAACTGGTAAATACATGGCCACAGTTAGACTTAACGTCTCATCTGGTCCTTATGGAACCCTAATAGCCCTTGAGAAGCAAGTGTCTTACTGGACCTGGCCAGCAGATTGGGCCCTCCTCTTCCCCCAGCTCGCTGGATTGCTCTCGGGTCAGTCTTTCCTAGAGGAAAATGGACTAAGTGGCCCCTTGAGCACACTGTTGACTTGGGAAATTTCTGACGTTTTACAGATGAATTAAAAGACCTTAAAAAGTATAAAGCTTGTAACTCCTAAGTGCCAGTATTTAGATTGGTTAGTACCCAGTGGGTGGGACAGAAACCCCATGTGCCCATTCAGTGAGTACACATGGACTCCAGCTTAACGATGGTTCAGCTTGGGATTTTTCAACTTTACCATGGTGCAAAAGTGATGCACATTCAGTGACACCATACTTTGAATTTTTAATTTCAGTCTTGTCTTGGGCTGATGTTATATGGTGTTATACTGTTTTAGGACTCTGGGCTACAGCAGCAAATGCAGCTCCCACTCAGACACCCCGTCACCCAATCGCTGACACTCTACATTGTGCTGTGTTCTGTGTTAAGCCATGGTGTTCATGGGCTAGGTGTAATAAATGCCTTTTCTACCTACAGTATTTTCAACTTACGACAAGTTTATGTAGCTGTAACCCCACTGTGAACAAGGAGCATCTGTATAAAGTCAGGGTGGGCTTAGCATTCACATTTGAATTCTTCTCTTCCCCCTCACCATTGGGAAGGGCCTAAGGTGGGTGACCCCAGATTTGCGTTTCAGTTCTGAAGAAAACATCCAAGAGAAAGAAAATGGAGGGAGGTGCTCGCAAGCTGGTTCAGCCCATTGCCCTGGATCCCTCAGGACGGCCTGTGTTCCCCATCGGACTAGGGGGTCTAACAGTATATAGCCTGGGGGAGGTGAGTGAGACCAACCATATAGAGAGAGGAAAATTGGAAAAATACGGGACTGGGACTGAGCCTTCCTTCCCTATTCCTGTTAGCAGCAGCCCCTTGCTGATCCATACCAACCCCAGACAATCCTACGAAACCGGGTCACTTTTCTCTGCTGCACAGAGTGTGCTCTTTCTCTATGTGAGTTGACTCCTTCTTCTCAGACCTAAGTGGTTACAGAGGCCACCACTGTAAACTGGACTTGTGAATTCTTTAGTGACCTCAACCCCAGGTTGGGGGAATCTTTTTGTAGATCATCACCGACCGACCTGGCTTCCATGATGAGAGTGCCATCTACCCTGTGGGCTACTGCAGTACTCGAGTCTATGCCAGCATGAAGTGCCCAGACCAGAAGTGTCTGTACACCTGTCAGATCAAGGATGGTGGGGCGCAGCCTCAGGTACCCACTGTAAAAGTGGCCATTTTTTTCTTTTCTTTTCCTTGAGAACCTTCTCCATTCTAGGCACTTAATTAATATGTATTTCCTGTTCTGACACACTGTAAAGTTGATAACTTCATAATCATCATTTGGGTAGCCCCAAGATACAGAAAGGTACAGGGGTGTAAATCTGTATCTGATTTTCAAACTGATGCCCTTTCCTTTGAATCATGCTGTATCCGTCAGTATTGTGACAATGGGAAGCCTGATCCAGCCTGCTTATGTGAGGCAGAGGCCCAATACAAGGAAGTTATGATACTCTGCCGTTTCAGACTGGACCAAAGTGGGAGGTGGCAAAGAAGCTGCATATTAGTTTTAGCTGTACATATTCTTAAGAACCTGGAAGACTTGGTTCCTAGTCTTACTAAATACCTTTATTCATCCTTTTTGTTTTTTAATACTTATTTATTTTGAAAGTGCTACAAAGAGGGAGGAGAGATCTTCTATCCACTGGTTCAATCCCCAGATGACCACAACAGCCAGGGTTGGGCCAGGCCAAAGCCAGGAGAGATGGCAAATACTTGAGTCTTGGGTCCCAAAACACTTGGGCCATTTTCTACTGCTTTTCCCAGGCCACTAGCAGGGAGCTGGGTCAGAAGTGAATCAGCCAAGACATGAACCAGCTCCCATATGGGATGCCCGTGTTGAAGGTGACAACTTTATCCACTACATCACAACACCGTCCCCTGTTCATTCTCTTCAGTGCTCAGGTTCAAGGCAGTTCACTTTCCCCAGCCATCACTTCTTGATTGCTGGGAAAAAGAACATTTTTGGAGTTCGAAACTTCAGTAACTGATGAATTTCCAGATCACTAGGAAATTGAGTTGGAGAGAGTGGAGGCAAGCTGAGTAACCTTTAAACAGAAGCTGCGAGAAACCCGAGCCTCACTGACGTTTGCGGATAATACTGTGCCATTCCTGTCAGAGCACTGTTAGAGCCAAGAGTTCAAGTGACTGGTCATGCAGCAGTTCTTACAGAAAGTGTTCTGGCTGAAAAGACTCACTATCATGGCAGTGTACCCTAATTTATAACAAACTTCCCAGTGCATTGCAAATCTAATCAAGATCCTGCCAGTTGAGATGCCCATGTCTGATATTGAAGCGCCTGTGTTTGAAACCTGGCTCTGGCTCCCAATTCTAGCTTCCTGCTAATACAGACCCTGAGACACAGCAGGTGATGGCTCAAGTAGTTTGGGTGCCTGCCACCTACCTACATGGGAGATCTGGACTAAGTTCTTGGCTGCAAGCTGGCCCACCCCCAGCAATTGCTGACATCTGGGGAGTGAACCAGCTAGCAGATGGGTGCATGTGTTTCCAACACCCTCCCCCACCCCGCCATCAGTTATCTGTATCTGTGTGTGTGTGTGTGTGTGTGTGTCTTCCTCACAAATTTAAAAAAAAAAAAAAAAATTTAATGGAAATTGAAAGCTGATTCTTAATTTCCTCTGAAGGACAAAAGTGCTAAACATTTTTTGGAAAGAAGAATCTGGAGTTTTTAGTTTTTTTCTTAATTCATCAACCTAACTAGACATTTTTAGGTTTGTGAGCCAGGCATCTGTTATGCTAAATACATGTAATACTGGACTTTTTCATTTATGTGTTTGTGTCAGTGTGACTTTTAAATGCTTCAGATTTATGGAATTTTTAAAGATATATTTATTTATTTGAAAGGCAGAGTTACACAGAGAGAGGGAAAGACAGAGAGAGACAGATCTTCTATTCATTGGTTTACTCCCCCAAATGGTCGTAGTGCCTAGGGCTGGGCCAGGCTGAAGCCAGGAGGGTGGACCTCCATCCTACTCTCCCATGTTGGTGGCAGGGGCCCAAGTACTCAAGCCACATTTCACTGCTTTCCCAGGCATATTAGCAGGGAGCTGGGTCAGAAGTGGAGCAGCCAGGACTCCAACTGGTGCCCATATGGGGTGAGCCACTGTACCACAACACCAGCATCTAGAATGTTTTATTAGATCAAAAAATATTTTGGAAAATGCAGACAGGCTTTTTATAATCTTGGGGTGAAAATATTTCTCATGTCTTG